GATAAACCATCTATATTCCTTCATTCTGCTGGCACATATGTGCATCCAAACAAGCTAAATTAACACTGGTCTTTGTCTACTTGCAATCTTATCTCCATCCTATATAACAAATATCTTATTTAGCTGCATTTTCAGCTGCCACCTGAAACTAATGCTTCACCTGCAATATGCAATCGCTTCCAAACCCCAACTTCTTGTTTAAATTCAGTCCAGAGACTGAGAATGAACTACAGGCATTCAACCAAGTTGACTTTGAGGACTAATACTTCTAGTTCAAAAACGATCATCAATTTCATCTTACAAAAATACCTGATACATCACTGCAAGCAGAAATATCAATGATATAATTTGTAATTCAGCATATAATGCATAATTCAGCAGGGGAAATACCTCCGGTAACACCAATAATTCAAACTGCGGCTGTAATCATTCATCCTCCTCCTGGTACCGTGGAGAGAACTGTTCACAGCTCACACCTGTCAGAGAGACCTCTTCATTCTGGTCAGGAATTGCCTGAAGACTGTGATTGCTGCAGATTTTCCTGGCTTTAGTCCATGGATATTTTCTGAAAATACAACTCAATTTATTGCTCATGAACTGCTTCAAGTAATTAATGAGTGCAAAAAATTATGACCTGTTTGATCACGAGCACGCTCATGTTGTAATACATCTTCCACAGAAAGGGCTGGTACAATAGCTTTCGCCTCACATTCCTAGGGGGAACACTCACAGTCTCAGTTACTAAACTCACCTGGTTCCCTCAACGTTAATTTAAAAAGGAAACCCTTTTTTTTCAGAGACCTGGCTCATTGGAAGTGCTGTGGAAAGCAAATGCCAGACACTCAGCCCAAACCCACACAGGAGCAACCCAAAGGAAGGTGCCAGATTATTTTCAAATGGTGTTCGTGTGCTTCGGGGCTTGGAAACACAGCCCCATTCTTTCTTCTTTTTTTTTTTTTTTTGCCAGCAATACTCTTAATAGGCCTTTTCTTGAATAAAGCGAGTGTGAATTGTGCTGATGCTCCAGCACAGGATATTGCTGGGAGTTCCACTTCACATTTGCTCAGCTTGCAAGTGAAACCACACACGGAGAGGTGGGTGCCTCTGTCCACCAGCAGCCTGGACTCATAAACCATGACGAGCCAAGCCCACCGTGTCCGACGGATCTGGTGAATGAGGTCACAGGCAGGATTTTCTCCTGCATTTGGAGTTTAAAGAACAATTTCACCAGCGAGTCACAAAACAGCAATGATCTCTCCCAGGCACCTTTTTAAACTTTTTTTTCCTTCTCATCCTGGTGCTAATGGTAAGTAGCAAAATGTTCTCACACTGACCTGCCTGAGAGGATTGGGCTTCAAGGGAGCCATAGGGAAGGCTCACAGGGATTTTGATTTTTTTTTTTTTCCCTGTGCTTACCCGGGCTAAAACCACACTTAAGCTCCCCAATTTCCCTAGCACGCATCTAACAGGCCTTTTTTCCCTGGCACTCAGACACCCACCTTGCTAAGGCAGACTGCTCCCCAACAGAAAACTATAACCAGCTACAGATGAATGTAAGACAAAAACCAAAATCATTCCTTAAATAACTGTTCCTAAAATACCATTCCTGCCCGTCATGTCCACTTCCCATGTATCCCAAGAGACTCAAAACAGTATTTCTGGAGCGAAACCCTCTGCCTGAAACCATTAAATCTTCCTTGCTTCCCAGGAACACTAGGACCAGATGTTTTCCCATCTCCTTTCTCCTACTAAGCACCTCACTTTACAAGGAGAGTATCTCAGATTCACTGAGCATCATCTGCTCCCGCAGCAACAAGAGATGGGACCACCACACTCAGCCCTGCAGCAAGCAGAGGGGAGGTGAGAAGAGATTGCTCCTTTGACCCTTTAATCTTTCTCCTTCATAAACCTTCATGAGTTAGTCCCCTGGGCGACACCGTTGTCTATTGCTACAGGAATGGGAAGGAGTCCAAGGAGGCTATGACCTAATGTTTCATTTTGCAAAGACAGACGGAAGAGATGGATTATACAGGAAAGCTCTCGCTGTGCATGCAATTATCTGATAAAAATCTATTTTGGAAGATGAATCTCAGAAGGAGGAACATGCAAAACTCTCATATGTGTTCACAATGGGAGGCTGCAATATTCCTTTAAAAACAGGGAATAAAATTAATGAAAAATGATATGGAAGAAGGAAACAGACCAAAAGAACAACATGGTGCTTTAATTCATGCTGAGTTTAGGAGAGCGAGGAGGAAGAGGTCAGCCACCCTGGTCAAGCCAGTATATGAAATCTGGTAAAAAAAAATATCCCTACTGATTTAAGGATAGTTACCTCTGCAGACAGCTAGACTAGTTCAGCTATGTTTCCCATGCCTCATAGCCAAATCCCTTTGTGTATTTAGGATGCACGAGCACAGCCTTTGCCTCCCCTCTCCTCCCCTGGGACCAGGTGCCTATACAGGCAGAGGTCCCTCGCGCGAGGGCACTGCCGGGGGCTCGGCCTCGTCCTGTCTGGGACGTCTGCAGCACCCAGACACGCTGGGGACAGCTGCCCCTCCGCCACCCCGAGCCGAGGTGCCATTTGGTGGGGTTAGACGCATGCACGGCATCCTCGCCGGCGTGAGGCCGCGCGCCTCCTTGCACGCGTCTCGGAAGGGAGAAATGATTCGTTTTATTTTATTGCACTGACTGCTGCTTCCGCAGCCGCCCCAGCGACTCCGAAAGGGGAATGGGCGAAGCGGGGGCGCACACAGGTCGCAGGTCCCCTCTCGGCGCAGGAAAGCGGCTGGAAGCTGCTCTGGCTGCGCCGGGTTCTCCCACAGGCACAGGGATTTCTGCTCCCTGCGTGTCTGCACAGAGATAGATGCACCGTGGCCATGGCACAGCACACGGCGTGGTACCAAGCACGGCACGAAGGGCGCGTGCCCGCACGGGACAGGACGCCTGGCCACGGCCTCGCTCCGCGCAGCCGGGGCACACGCGGGAAGTCCTTCTCTCCAGGAAGATCTGCCCTTTCGTTTGAAGCATCAGAGAAGGGAGAAAAGCTGAAAGGCACCCAGGCCAGCAGCTTCTGTGCAGACGCAAGGAGAGCCTTTTAAAGTGAGAAAACTCCAGCCATTTGTATGTTCAAATGGAACCACGAGAGGGACAATTCTCCTCCTCATCCACTCTAAGCACTGTTTTCATGTAAACTCACCCCACGATGAAATAAAGGTAACCTCGAGGACCAAGTGCGACCGTGCACCCTCATAACATCGTGTGAAACGTGAAGGACACCGCTCCCCTACCTCGACAAAGAACAAATACACACAGAGAGAAACAAGACTGGATCTGAACAAGTATGGCAAGTTTACTGAAATAACATTTAAGGCATCTGACCTTTTCAATAATACAGTTCCTTTTAGAGCGGGACCTTCTTGCAAGCAACTTATCCAAGCTCTAACACACTTTTGCCCGAGTCTCACTGGTTAAATCTGGGTTAAATCACTTTGAAAACAAGGGTCAAAGTTGTTTCATAGCTTTACTCTCTCAGTAATGTGCAACATGAACATAATAGTGTTATTAAGAAGTCAAAAATAACACAGTAGCTATATAAGATTCTTCAATGGTCAAACTTTCAGCAATTACTTTTTGTTAAGTTCAGAAAATTAGCATATTTGTTAATCAAATTAATTTAAAAAGTAGCTTTTCAAAATAAAAGCAATGCTTTAAATAAATATAGTCTTTTTATAAACATAAAACACTTAGTCCTGTTAAAAGTAACACAAACACTACACGTGAACACAGTACTTCAGATTGAAATGAGCATTGTGAGCCACACTGCGATGGTCAAGGACATCTTGCTTTGAGACATTCTTGGTCTCCTTTCTACAGCAGCACAAAAAAAAGGCATCCAATTCTTGAAATTGCCCTAAACATTTGATGTGTGTCAAAACATTTATAACTGATGAACAAAAATGATGGTACCCTGTTTTGTGGGTTTTTTGCCAGGCTATTTCTCTGCACTACATCTTTAGCAGTTCGGCAGCCTTGCTGAGTTTCTAGCCCAGCGCAGTTCACTGCTGAAAGCAGAGGCAACCAGACCCTGATGACTCTGCCCCTCCAAAAGGATCGTGAATCCATGCAACGAAAGCAAGATCCGACCTCTCAGCCGCCTTCCAAAGCCCACAGCTTGTGAAATCCATAGAACCTTCCCTCAAAAATACCTGTCCCGCCGGGCGCTGCAGGTCACCTTCTGGGGCGACGGCCACTGAGGAGTATTCACAGCTCTCACCCTTACAAAGGGGCTGACTAGCTATGCTCGTCACGACACAAGGTAAACGCGTATCAGCAAAGACGGTAGCTGTCCTGCAGATCTAAAATGTAGCAATGATTTTCTGGAATGAAATAAAGTAGCTAATTCTCATACAGATTATCTGGATGTATTCCAAAGTGGAGATTGCTAAAATTCAGTGAAATGTATATCTGAAATCTAATCACAATCTATCCAAAAATTCTGACCACTTAGTATCTCAGTTTTAATTGTTCATTAAAAATCATGTTCAGCATCTGCAGCTTCCATACACTGGTTTTGTCCTCACAAAAAGAGCCACTGGTGACATTTTGGTTGGATTGTGTTTGTTTAAAACGGCGTAACAGTAATGTAATCTACAGGTTAAATGATAAAAGCTAAAGAATAATAAAAAAGCACAAAACTGGTACAAGTACTCTCTATTTGTTTTGATCTTCAGAAGAAACGGGTCTCCTCAAAGATGGCCAAAGAATAAATTAGCAAGTGGCTAATGTAATGCACAAAAGGGTGTCTACAGGGTTTGCATGTGCGTACACAAACGCACTCTCATTCAGACGGCTTGGCTTCGTTAGAAATCTCACTATCAGAGGGTTGAACTTAGATAAATTAACTGCATTAAAATACTGACATTGTGAGAACTTTAATA